TTACCCAGGTGATTGATGCATGTCACTTTTGGGCTCATGTTGGAGGTAAACCAGTGATTGAAAAGATGGAAGCAGTTAATAGAAAGCTGTTAGCACAGGTAATTCTAAACAGAGGCCAGAGGTTCTTGTAATCAGTCAACCACTGAACTGATGAGTGAGTGCGAAGGAATTACTCTTGATAATATTTATACAATATCAAGCAGACAAGTGATAAGATCAAAGAGAAATTTTGAATAGGGAGATTATTACTTGATCCAATACCAAATTCTCCAGACTAACCACATAAGAACTGTTTGACAGAAGGTAAGGAGAATTACTATTATATCTTGGGAGTGCAAGAGTTAAGAAAGGAAAACTGACTGATATCTTGTATTCTTTTGTCATTTAGGAACAAATTCCTCTAGATGCCATTCCAGAACCTGGAACATATGTCTGTGTCACTGAAATTGTTGCAGGTCACTGGAACTCCTACAGAGCTCAAGTCCTATTGGCAGATGATAGCACTGATAGCAGTGCTACTGTGCAAGTCTTTGCCATCGACAATGGTTTCACTGGGACTGTTTCTGCTAACTGCTTGTATGTTTTACCAGAAGAACTACTTCAGATTCCTCCCCAGGTACTAACTCAGTTAAAAAAGAACCTCAAGAAAAAGAACCTTAAGAAGCTCTTGATTGTTAAACAAATTCTTCTTGTCAACACTCTAGGAAATGTATGGAGAATATGCATACTGATCTTAGGGTGTAAAGGGTTATCTTTTTTGTATTACGAGCAAAATTCAATTTTCTGGTTCTAGGCAACCTTATGCTGCTTGTCTGGAATTCAACTACCACCAAAAAGTGCTGAAGTATTGGAACATGCTGCTGGTAAATACATGATACTGTATACTGCATGATGATAAAATCAGATTCATCTTTGTATGTGTATATAATGTTCTAGTCATTAATATTGAATACTCATTCCTAACATATTTCAGGCACCCTTAGAAATTTAACTGAAGATGATAACTCAAATCGTCTTTATATCGCTGCTCAAGAAGGACTAGAATACCTTATCAAGGTGGGTCTTGTTTTAGTGAAAAGAGCATTGAGCATTCTGTGAGAATTGAGCCATAAACATTCCTGAGTAGAAACCCACGTTAATAAGTTGTTACCCCTTTCTTCCATGAATTTATGAGAATTGCATGCTCAGGCTTAGGGCTCAAAATGACTGATGGTCAATGCACAAGGTCTGGTCAAATATAGGTTTTGCTCAGTCAACTCCTTGAATTGGAGGACAGTTTGTTCAGTAGTTTATGTTTGGAAAGAAGAATTTAATTCTGAACTAAGTTCAATTTTTAAATACAGCTTTAAGACTTTTCCAGCATTTAGTTCAAGGCTACATGTACATTAAAGCTTGGTTAATATACCTCTTTGATGAGTTGTCTCCAAGCAAACATAGGTTTGACCACACCAGTTATCATTATTTGAGTGACAAGGCTTGTCATCAAGACATGTAAAGTAACAAACAAATGTTCTTCATGTCTGAAGTAAAATTAGATCTGGCCAGAGAAATCTGCATGACAACAGGATAATTTTCTTCTTCTGAGCTAAACAAACACTTTGCATATCTAATCTTATTGTTTCGATTTATTTAAATCACCTGTAAGGTTTTAGTTGGCTTACCCCTAATTAAACCAATATTGCTGCTCATTTTCAGCTGTGTACTGTCCCAAACAGAGATGTTTGTATCCAGGCTGTAGGGGCTCTCCTGAATCTTGCCATCAACAGTAAGGTGCAGGTCAGAATTGGATTTCTGGGAGGCATTCAAGCTCTCCTTGGTAACTTACTGTTTTTGCTCTGTTTTGATAGTTGGAAACTCATAATTAGGTCACTGCTCTGTTGATGGGGGTGACAAGGTGGCTCATGAGATAGCAGTCAGGAGTCAG